AGCGTTGCAGGCGGTCACCCCGAAGCGCCTTGCTGCCTCTCTCGGCGCACTGCGTTCGCCCAGCCGGGACGGCCGCAGATCGCGCTCGTCGACGAACGGCTCGCAGGCCATCGATGACGACGAAGACGACATCCGCCTCTCCAATCTCGCTTCTCGCGTCATCTCTCGTCGCAACTCGTCCTCGTCAAGCTCGAGCAGTGACGCCGACCTCGACGACGGCGACGAGACTGGACGCACCGGCCGCTCCCGCCTCTCCCGCTCCGCCCGACTCGCCTCAATGCACGCATCCTTCATCTCAAATCGCTCGAGGCGACCTAGCGCGAGCGCTGGAAGCAACAGTATCGAACGGCGTGGGATTCGCTCGCGGGAGAGCACGCTTCCTCGCAAGGCTTCCGGTCGTCAACAGTCTCTCGAAGTCACAAGTAAGGGTCGCCGACGCTCCATCGACCAGTCCGGCGACGCGAGTCGACGGGGCTCAGCAGACCACGGCTCGGCTGTCCACAATTACTCTCGACGAGGCTCGAAGGATGCCGCAGCGGGGCCAAGCGGACGCGAGCTCTCTCGTCTCGCCGGCTTACAGCACGCTTCCGACGCCCACGAAGTCGTACGTCGACAACTTGTGGCGACGCTTCACGATTATGCGGACCGGGTCAGTCCCGCCTTCTTCTGCTGCCGACTTGCCGCTGACTCTCGCGACTACACAGGGAGACTCGCAGCTCTGCGCCGTCGTCTGCTGCGTCCTGCAGGACAAGGACGTCGAGTTTGACCGGCTCTGGCTGGCTCGTGTCACGAAAACCTACCTCGGTTCGTCTAGCTTTTCCCCCCGTCCGTGGCACAGCGCTAACGGCACTTGCGCATGCCAGACCACCTTCGTCGACTCGACCTGCACATTCCCGCCGCCGCGCTCAACAAGTTTTGCGACGTCGCCGCCTTGACGGCGCTAACCCAAGTACGGGGCGGCCCCGCCGCTACGCTCGACTTGGCGAACGCACGGACTGACGCGCTCGAAACGTGCAGAACACGGTCGTCTTTCACACGGCGTGCGGCGCGTGTGGGAAGCCGGTCGACCAGCCGCCTTTCGACTTTTGCATCCGCTGCCGGAGGAGGATCGCCACATGCTGCATCTGGTTCGTGCCGTTCTTCAGGCGATGCCGCCTCCGCCTCCGCACCGACTGAGAGTTCTTCTCGTATGCAGCCACCTCGCTGTCGACTCGCTGTACACGCTGTGCGCAGGCTGCGGGCACGGCGCTCACGTCGACTGCCTCGAAGCGTTCGCGTCAAGTGTTGCCGACACCCTCACCGCCTCGCTTCCGCAGACGCCTCTCGACCACTCGCACCCCTCGACGCCGGGTATCGCCACGCCGTTGCGAGCCTGGCTTTGGGGTGAGGACGACGACGATCCGGCCTGGTCGACGGCAGCGGCTACCGAAGGCGGTGCCTACCTCGCTGCGAAGCAGCTGAAGAACGTGTTGTCCGGCTGTCCTGCAGCATGCGGACACTCGCCGTGCTCCCTCATGCCGTCTGCCGCGTAGACGACGAGGCCTGTTGTTGTCGCCCCATACAGTACTCGCTTGCATCGCGCACATCCTCTCGAGAGATCTGACGAGCCCTTCTGCTCTGGCCGATGCGTCAACGTTGCAGCCTCAGACTCTGTCTCGCTTGCGGCTCCACCGTGCGGTTCGCAGGCCACACGAGCAAATTGATCTGCGAGTGTTCCAAGACGGCGGCCGACGGGGTGTTCTCTTCTTCACCGACGTCCGCAGTCCCTTCTGTTCTGACCGCCAGCACCGCACGCTGCTCTTCCTCGCTGCCACATGTTGGGGTGCTCGAGGACTCTGGCTGCGCCGCCATGCGCTGTCGACGGCGACTTGCGAGGGCGTCTTGCGAAGAGCTGGCTGTCGCTCGCAAGGCTCGCACGATGCTCCCTCGAACTGGCCTCCATCGCCACTTCGCCCTGCGCTGCTTCACGAGTGTCTGCAGCGTCGAAAGAAGCGCCTCATTGCATGGGCAACACCGGCAATTGAGAGGTTCGAAGTTTGCAATGAACAGCACCCCGCGTTCTCTGGCGGAGGTCGGTCGGGCAAGGTTGTTTCGGGTCTGCCGGGCGACGAGAGTGCAGTGCTGCTGGAGGTGAGTTCGCTTGCTCGGACTGTCCGTTGCAGCGTTCCAGGCGAGAGGCTCAAGCGCTCGAGAGAGGAGTTCGAGTGAGCCGGACCAACGCCGGACGACGAGGGCGCACAAGTGCGGTGTGCGGAGTATGTCAATCGACGCTAACGAATTCGACTTCGCCGTTCAGAGCCCTCGTACTGAGACAAGGCGTTGATGCCCGAGCGAGCGAGGAACTGCGTCCCTCCTTGAGCGAGCAGCGCGGGCGGACAGCTGCCTGGGTTCTTCTTCGTCCTGCTCCTCATCCTCCCCTTGCTCGACACTCCCCCAGCCATGTACGAACAGCGGACAACGTACGACGTCGCCGACCGCACCGTTGCCGGTCCTTCGCTCCTCAGGACTGCTCCGCCCGCTCGAACGGTTCGTTGACCTCGCTGCCGCCTCCCTGCGTCGCTTCGAAGCTGACATGCCTCGCCCCGCCCCTCGAAACAGATCACCAAGTACAGCGGTGCGTGCAGCAGCTGCCCCTCGACCCGCCAGTCGAAGTTGCTGAACTTGTTTGTTTCCCACTTTCCTCCAGGTCTGGCGCCGACAGAAGCCTTTGCTGCTCCTCGCTCGCAGTCGTACTATGCGCCACCCCAGGGTGCGTCCATCCCTCCCACGACGGCGGGATCTTATCTCACAAGGACCCTCTTTCCTGCGCAGACGTTTCGTACGAGGCTGCTCCCTCGTGCGACTGCCCGAACTGCTGCTCTGGCTCTGCTCCTCGCACCTACGCCGAGTTGCAGCAGCAACAACAGCTGGGTTACGCCGCGTTCTACCCGGCATCTCCCTCGACGTCGACCCCCTTCTCCTCCGGCTCGACGTACCAAACGCAACTCGCGCCTCCCTTCGTCGAGCAGACCTACTACCGCCCGGCTCCCCGCCAAGTCGAGCAGTACGCGTACACGTACCAGTCGCCCCAGCTCCCTTCGCCGCCCATCGAAGACCAGCTGCCTCACCTCGGAGAATTGCCGACCTACCAGCCGGCCTGGCAGCCTGTCGCGTCTCGTCCAGGCTCCTCTTCGATTCCTACACCACCCGAAGGCCTCAAGCAGTACGAGCAGTCGCATGGACAATGGGCCGTCTCGTATTCGCCCGCGACAAGCCAGTCGCCCTTCCTCCAGACGCCCGTCTCGGACAAGTCGATGGACCGGCGCCGTAGCAGCGGCGCGTCGTCGTCCCTCGCGCATGGTGTTACCCGCCGCACGTCGGAGCTGAGCATCAACAGCCTCGACAGCCCGTTCGGGAGCGAGTACAGCTTCAACGGCGTCGAAGAAAATCTTCCCTCTCGCAGCGACCGCACGGTCGACTCGCCTACTCCCTTCGTCACGAAGGTGCGTTTCTCCTTCTTGTCTTCACCTGGCTGAGACTGACGCTCTCGTCGGCAGCTCAACCACCTCCTCAACGCGCCCGAGTTCGCCGCCGTCGTCCGCTGGTCGAGCGACGGACACTCGATTCTATTTGCGTACGACGATCCACGGTTCGCCGACGCCTTGCGCAAGGTCTTCCGCCACGACAAGCACATGTCTTTCGTCCGCCAGCTGAACATTTGTGCGTCGCTCTCCCAGCTCGCTTCGAGAGTGCTTTCCTAACAGCCTCTCCTCCTTTGCAGACGACTTCAAACGCCTCACGCCCCTCGACCTTCACGCTGCGGTCCAGTCGACGCCGCACCCGGACGCGCCGACCAGCTCGAGCGAGTACGCCGCTTTCACGCACCCGAACTTTTTCCGCGAGACGAACGGCGTCGGACCGGACCTCTCGTCCATCAAGCCCAAGAACAGCAAGAAGGTTCTTCGCCAGGCGCTCGCGTCGGGTTCGCCTACGCCGACCAAGACGCACAACTTGCGCTCGAGCGGGCGCGTCGGCGGCGGTATTGGCGACCGCAAGTTCGAGTGACCTCTCCTCGCCCGCAGTCTCCTCTCCTCTCTCTCTCTCGCATGTTGATATCCTTACGATCCTCGCGCTATACCCCTCGCACATCTCTCATGAATCGGACACTGAGCATACCCTCGAGCGGAGGCACTGGTTGCCTCGCCCTCGTTCACGAACGACGCATTCTCCGAGTAGATCTTGTCGTCACCTCCTTCTCTTGCGCACGTAGATCGTCCAGCAAGGAGCAATAACATGCCTTACCGTCAACTTGCGATGTCAATCTCGCGAGGTTGGCGAGGAAGCGGTCTTCGTCCTCGAGCTCTCTCCCGCTTCAGTCAGACTGCGCTTCGAGTGCTTGCTGCTACTCATAGGACTTGCCAGGACCCGCCAGACCCGCTCGCATGCCCCCACCGTGCCTTGTTACACCGTCTCGTCGACCACCCCATCTTCATCTCCCGAACACGCTCACACCGCCAAACATGCCTCGCCGTGCGAAGAAGGTCGCCCAAGCCGCGATTGCTGCCTCTGGTCACGATGTCGACATGCAGCCAGCCGCGAACGACGCGCCGTTCGAGCCTGCCGCCGAGGTCGACGCGCCTGCTCCCCCTCCCGCAAAGAAGCCGAAGAACCGCTCGGCGCTGAGCAAGGTCAAGGGGAGGAAGGGTGCCATGGCTGTCTTCAACGCGTTGCCGATCGACCTCATCTTCGACGTGCGTGACTTTCGCGGGTTTCCCTTTTTCATAGACCTCACACTCGACCGCTTCCCTTCCTCGCGCAGATCGCGTCGCACCTCGACCCGTGCGACCTCTACGTCCTCAGCCGCACCTGCAAGGTCTTCCGCTCGGTCGTCACGGGCACGAACAGCCAGGCTCTTTGGCAGGAGGCGCGCGCTCGCGTCGGTCTTCCCGAGCTCGCTCTGCCCATGACGGACCTCCAGTACGCGCACCTCTTGTTCGGCAAGGGCTGCACGTTTTGCGACCGCAAGAACGCCGGCAAGCCCGAGCCGTACTTCCGCGCCCGCATCTGCACCGCTTGCATGAAGGACAAGTGCGTCTCCCTTCCGCAGAACTCCAGCATGTCCACCTTGCTGACAGAGCTCGCTTCTCACAGGTTCTCCGACACGTACACGACTGCAGGCTACACCGCCGTGCGCAAGGCGGCTGGCGAGGACTTGCACCCGATTGCCATGTTCTGCACCGTTGGGACGTCCCACATCTCTCGCTACGGCACACAATACCGCCTCGCGGATATCACCAGGGTCAACGCCGACCTCAAACGTCGCTTCCCGATTTCGAGCGAGAGTTACGCCGACCGCAACTGGATCGCCGGAAGGCGCGATGCTCAGATGTACGGACGCGAGTATGCGAGCGAGCCGTCGACGCTGGCGCAGAAGTGGTACGCCGAGGAGATGGAGGCGAAGGTCATCGCCCGCCGCGAAGACGGGGACAAGCTTCGCGCGTGGCTCAACAGTCAGGAAAGGGCGAAAGCCCTCTCGAAGGACGAGATCCGCAAGATTCGGCGCGAGGACCTCGAGCGTCGCTTCAAGGCGCAGGGCTTCACCGATAGCGAGTTCAACTACGAGTGGCGCCAGGAAGCGCTCGTGAAGAAGCCGGAACTCCTGACGGAGCGAATGTGGGCGAAGAACGAGCCGATTCTCAAGGCCAAGCTGCTCGACATCCGTCGCCGTCACCGTCGTGCCGCCTTCTCCTCCTGCCTCGCGGGTGCGAAGCTGAACCGCCCGTTCAAGCCTGTCTACCCCGACATTGACATGGCCGTCAAGTTCCCCGTCCTCGCCGCCGTCAGCGACGATCTCGAGGACCCCAAGCCCGCTCAGGAGCTGTTCGCCGAGCACAAAGAAGCCATCCTCTCCGACATCGACGGCGTCATCCGCGACCGCCTCCACGGTATGCTCCGCGCCGTCGGCAAGGCGTACGAACAGCTCCGGCAGGACCAGAAGAACAAGGCGACCTGGAAAGACGACTACATCAAGAACCTCACGGTCAACGCTGTCACGCTGCCTCGCCTGCCGCCGTGGATTCCCCGCGACGACACGACGCCCATCACCGCGAGCGACGAGCAGATCGTTGCCTTTCTCGAGTCGCACGACCTCGCCTGCTTCACCTGCGAGGAATGCCACACTGTGGCAGAAGGCCTCAGTACAGTGCAGCATTTGACGAAGCCGTACGCGTGCACCAGTGACTATACGGTCGCGGGAGGACGTGTGCTTCCTACTCTCGACGACTGGGCACGCTGCGGCCGCCCGACCGACCCGATCCAGACCGACAAGAAGCTCCTGCTCCGCGCACTGTACATCAAGAAGCAGCTCGACTCGGCCAAGCTCGAAAGTCCCGACAGCTCGCTCCTCGAAGAGGCCGCCAAGTACAACGTCGATATGGAAGAGAACAAGATCTACAAGGTCGAGGTCATCTGCGAATGCGAGCCGACGAGGGCGTGGTACAACGGTGCCCGTCAGACGAAAGTCATGGACATGGTGCGTCGGTCCTTGCATTCGATCGTGCGCCGTTTCCGCTGACTTCGCCCTGTCCGCTGCGCAGCTCAACCACTTCCGCAAGCACATCAATCAGGACACGGGCAAGATCACGAAGAGCACGATTCGCGTCGAGGTCGATTACAGCCACGCATTCCGTCGCGCCGTCTCGTCCGCGCGCATTCTCGCGGGAGTGCCAGCTGCCGGACTTGCCGACCCGTTCGACTCGCTCGACATCTTCGGCGGCTATGACAGCGGCGTCGACTACGACAGCTACGGCGGGTACGAGGACGAGGAGCGCGAGGAGTGCAGCATCATGTGAGGAGCGGGAGAAGGCGCGCTTGATGGGATCTCGGTGGCGGCGACGCTTGTTCTCATGTGTGCAGTACTCGACGTGACGTGGATCAACTATCAATGTTCATACAGCTTGTCCCGTCGCGCGTTGGCAGACAGGCGAGTTTGCTCGAAGATGCTCTGCCGTCCGCTTCATGGAGGGGCAACCGAGCGAGATGCAGGACCGTCTATAGCTACAAGCTGCGTGTCGTGAAGAGCATATACAGTCGTGAGAGATAACGTAGCGCGGGAACATCTAGGCAGGTGCGGTCTTCTCCCTCCTGCCGGTCCCCTCCTCCGCCATCGCAAGCGGGTCGTACCTTTCTAACGCCGGTCCAGTCGCCGCCGCTATTGCAACCTCGTCGACTCCATCGACTGCTGAGCCGGAAGGTGCTGTGTGAGCTTTGTGTTCGAGGGCGACTCGGACTGCGCCGCCGACGATGATGGCCGCACCGATGAGGGACCAGATGTCGGGCAGTTTGCCGAAGACGAGTCGCTCCATGATCATCGTGAAGAGGAGGTTGGTATCTGCGCGTGTGTGTCGTCAGGCAAGCAGCGCAGAAATCGGCTGGAAAGGTTGCGTAGACGGGACGTACAAGTTGCGAGCGCGCCTCGACCCGCTTTCTCCTTGATCAGTCCCATCGTCATGAGAGCTTGTGAGAGAAAGCCGAGAACGCCGATGGGGCAGAGGAGGACGAAGAAGCGGGTCGTGAGGCGGAAGACGGGGGGAGAGTCGAAGACGAGGGGATACAAGGACGAGACGAGGACCTGTGACATCGACAGCGCAGCCCAGGCCGTGCTTTTCCGTCAACTTGATGTGAGCAGCCAAATGGAGCGGAAGTCAACGCACGCTGTAGAGGGAGAAGTAGGAGATGCTGTGCAGCGCGCTGGCTCGCGTACCGATAAAGCGAATAATGATCGACACTGACGAGCTCGCAATGACGCCGAAGAGAATTATAGAGACGCCCTTCATGCGCTGATCTGGGCTCGACTCGGCCGTTGCCGTCAAAGCAGTCGCGACGGCGGACGAGGGGAAGAGGAAGGAAGGTTTGGCGATGAAGATGGTGCCAGAGAGACTGGCGATGCCGACGAGAGCTTCGAGGCGGGTGTATGGCTCGCCGAGGATGAGCCAGCCTTGGATGCCGACGAGGACGGGCGAGACGAACCATAGGGTCGAGGCGTCGGCGAGCGAGAGGTATTGAAGGGCGGCGTAGTTGGTGTAGAGCCTGTGTCAAAGTGTTGCACGGGAGAGGGTGAAAGAAGGAAGGGTGCGGTGCAGGCGAAGATGCGGTTCAAGAAATGGCAGAGGAGCGAGCGAGGAGTCAGCTTGACTCCAGCCTGGCACGCTCACGCAAGTCAACAGCTTCCGACGCACCCGAAGAAGCCGACGAAACCTCGCAAGCACAGGAGAAGTCTCACACCTGGAGGTCCGAGGAAAGGATGGGGATCTCTCGCCCACCACCGAAGGTCTGCGATGCGACAGGAAGTCAGCTGACATTGTCTACCACTGGAGAAATCGTCACTCACAGGCATAACAACCAGCGAACGTGATGAGCATGCGAATAACGATCAATTCGTAGACGGGGACTGCGACGTCCTCCTCAAGCAGCTTGACGCAGGTATTGATGATCGCGAAGCCGACCTGACTCGCTACAATGAGGAGAAGACCTGCGCAACGCGGAACGTTTAGCGGAAGAGGTCGACGAGCTGGAGGAGGAAAAGCGACACTCGCCCTCGTTCTTCCGGACGACAGCCCTCGCCGCCAGCCCGAATCGCCTCGCTCCCGCCGGTACGTATACTCCAACACCGAGCCCTTCGTCGTCGGCGTACGAGCGCAGCCGTCTCTGCCGTCTGAGCGTGTCGGGCGAGAAGGCCATTTCGTCCGTCTGCGACTCCTGGTCAAGCAAGCGCGACGTCGACGGCCTCGAGCGGTGGCCCCTCGATCCCGTCGGCCTCACAGCCAGCACTATCTCGTCGTCCTGCCCGTCGTCCTCGCTGTCGTCGATCGTACGCTGCCATCGAGAAGTGGGGGTCTCCGAGTCGTCGCAACGAGGTGCGGCTGGCGCAGCTGAGGGAGCGCTGAGCGGACTGTCTTGTAGCCGCACTTTGCTAGACGGGCTGGGAGGCGTCGCGAGCTCCATCGAGAGCGTGTCAAGCGCAGGAGTCGAGCGAGCAGCGTCGGCGAAAGATGTCAACCCGCGTGCTGGCGAGTTGCCGACGGCTGACTGGCTCGCTCGAGCTCGTTCACGTTCGCGACGATGCGTGCAGCTGAGAAGAGCAAATAGCGAACCTGCGTGTTGCGAGAGACAGTGCGATGAGGGGAGGGACCTTTGTGCGAAGCTACAAACGTTTTTAAACGACGATTGAGGACGAGTACAACAACCGGATGCAACGAGTGCGGTGATGACAAGAGTGGTATGAGAGGTGCTGGTTGCTAGGGAGATATCACTGGTATGCGCGGTCGCGATCGAAGCGCTGAGGACGGGGAGGGAAGGGAGTGCGGTCGAGCGGGCGTTCGCGGTCTCGCTGGGACGGCCGGGACGACGACGACGCAGAGTCGGCGTCGCGGTCGCGGGCGAGATGAGGCGCCGGAGCACGAGGGAAGTCTGCCGGGGGAGACGAGGGGAAGACGGCGTCGGGCTGGTCGCGCGGGACAAAGCGGTGGGTTCCGGCGAGGTTCTCGTCGAACCCTCCGCCGTTCGTGAGCTGACTCATGAAACTCTCCTCCTGCTTCTTCTCGCTGAGCAGCCAGTTGGCCCTCGACCGCTCCTTCTCCATGATGATGTCCCGACCGGGGTTCTCCGGCACCTTGGGCTCGTTGTGCTCGGCAATGGCGTCGGCATGCGGGTGCGGCGTCGCCCACTCGGTCGTCTCCTTACGGTCGGGCCCACGCGTCGCCTCGGGCATGTCGGCCCAGCTCGCGAGGAACGTCTCCTGGTTGATCCCGTCCCACACCGGACTGTTGACGTCGAGGAAGGAGTACTCGGCCCACCCACGCGCATTGGGCGGCTTGACTCCCTCCTCGAGGTACTCGCCCTCGTAGCCGCGTCCGCGGTCGTCGGCCGACAGACGCAAGTGGAGCAAACCGCCCGTCCCACCGTTCAGGCGGTCAACGAGCATCGTGATGAGTTCCTGGAGGCGGTTCGCGCGAAGGCGGAGGAGACGACGGAAGAGGGCGGGTCCGTCGCGGCGGTCTTCATTCGGGATCGAGGCCATGAAGGGGAGGCCACGCTCGAAGCCTTTGCAGAGTCGGGCAACGGTGGCGGCTAAGGGGCGGGTAGGGAGGGTGACGGTGAGGAACGGGACGACGAGGGGTGGGTCGGTGTAGGGCGGTTCGGGGCGGACGAACTCCTCCTCGGAAGGCGGGATGATGAGCTTGAGCAACTCTTGCTCGTACGCCTCGAGCTCCTCGAACGACGTTCCGGGCGCAAGCTCGGCGTCCGGGTTCTCCGCGAGTAGCGCCTCGGTGCGCTTGCGGTCGTTGCGTACGCAAGTGAGCGTCTTGTAGACGTTCTGGTTCTTGAGCGAGCGCTCCTCGGGCGAGCCGGGAAAGACGGCTAGCTCGAGGTACTCCTTACTGTCGCGGTGGCAATGGTAGCCCGCCGGGATGGTGTACTTGACCTTGGGCTGTCCCCACTCCTCCTTGACCTCGTTGATATGCTCCTCCTTCCACTCTCCCCAATTGAGGTTCTTGAACCGCTCAGGCAGATCAACCTCCCTGCAGAACCCGCTCACGACCTCCCTCCGCGTCGCTCGGCCGTGGCCCCATCGAATGGGGTAGCGAGTGACGGCGAGGTAGACGGTGTGAGGCGTGTAGGCTTCGGCGTCGGGGCGGATACGGTCGGGACCGATGCGGACGTCGTACGAGTCTTTGAGCTTCTTCACGTTTGGGTCGAGCGCTTGGAGGAACTTGAGATGCCGGGGTTGCGTAAACCCTCCCATGTCTGCGAGCGAGCGAGCAAGGGTCAACTGTGGCGCGGAGGAGAGAGGAGGAGTTCGGAAACGCACAAGTCTTCGTCTCGCGCAACTGCATGGTCAAATCCATCCTCTCCAACCTCTCGGCCCTCGCAATCCTCCTCTGATGCCTCTCCTGCAACTCCTCCTCGGTGGGCGGCTTGTTATTCTCGATCGACTTGCGAATCAGCGCCCTCTTCTCCTCTTCCGTCCGTCTGGGCTTGCGCGTGCCCCAGTCCTCGCGGCGAAAGTGAGGAGGGGCGAAGCGCACGTGGTCGCCGGTCCAGCGGGAGGGAGGGCGGTCGTCGGAGTCGGACCGAGCGCTTGAGGAGAAGGAGGAGGAGAGGGGAGTGGCGAGCCGTGGGAAGGGCGGGGAGAGCCATGGTGAGACCAGCAGTGGTCGTAGGCGAGTCCTGGAGGCGTGCATCGCGAGTTGCGAGTGTGCGGCACACTCGAGGGCGATGAGGACGAGGAGGAGGAGGTTGTCCTGGACCCACTCACCCTCGACTGCTGCGATACGCTCGCTAGAGCCGGCTAGAAACTGCTGCACGGCCTTCTGAAGTGACTGTCACCCCCGCCAGCGCTCCTCGCATTCTCGCACACCTCCTCGACGCGTTCCACGCCCCACCATCCCTCCCGCATGGCCTACAACCCGCACTCGTCGTCTACGAACCTCCTCGGCACGCTCGACGGCCAGATCACAGCCGACGACGAGTCCGCAGCCGAAGAAGGGCGCGCCGGCCGTCCTCCCGCCCCGCCCTCTTCCTCAACACACCTCCAACCCCCTTCGGCGCGCGGGAGCGTCCCAGTGCAGGGCGTGGGAAGCACAGATGGGGAGGGAAACATCTTCACTCAATCGGCACACCCGGTCGCGTTGTTCTTCCTGTTCTTCTTCCGCTGCGCGGCGATAGCGACGTACCTCCTCTGCGGCTTCTTCAGCTCTTCCTACGTCTTTTCCGTGCGTTTATTCCCTCCTTCCTCTCCTCCCCATGGTCCCAAACTGACGAGCGACTGGGCGCGCGACAGACGGTCCTCGTCGTGGTCCTCCTCTCGCTCGATTTTTGGACGGTCCGAAACGTCTCGGGTCGCGTGCTCGTCGGCTTGCGGTTCTGGAACCAAGTCGACGACGACGGGACGTCCTTCTGGGTGTTCGAGTCGCGGAGCGTGAGTCCCCTCCCTTCGCCCCTCGCTCTCTCCTCTCGCACAACGCAACCTGAAACCTCGTCGCTCGCTCCTCTCACAGCCCTCGCAGCCGTCAAACGCCGTCGACTCGAAAATGTTCTGGATCGCGATGTACGCCTTCCCGGGCGCATGGATCCTCCTCCTCTTTGTCGGCATCCTCAAGTTCAACCTCTCGTTCTTGCCGATCGTCATGCTCGCGCTGGTGTTCAATGTGACGAACACGGTCGGGTACACGTACGGTGCGTTGCGGGTTTCTCGAGCTCGCTGACTGCGCAGGCAGAGGCTGACAGAGCGCGACTCTCGCTTTTCCGCTCCGCTCTTCTCTCCTCCCGTTCTCTCCTCACAGCCGTACGTCTCCCTCTTCTCGCTCTCCATATTCCTATCGTCCCTTTCCTCTCTCGCTCAACGACGCAAGCTAACTCTCAGCCCATCCACGCTCGCGCAGGACCGCGACGCCAAGCGCCGCTGGGCGACGGGCATGGCGGCGCACGGCATGCTCGGGCAGATGGGCGGGATCGGCGGCAGTGTCGTCAGTGGGATCGCGTCGAGTGCGTTTGGGAGGTTCTTTGGGTAGTCCGCTCGCTTCCTCGCTGCAGTGCGAAGTGGGAAGCGGGATTTGCGGAGATTCGAGGAGCGGTTTCAAGAGCGCGAGAGACGCGAGCGAGAGCGGACTTAGCCTGGCTGCGAGGGGTTGACGTTGCCCGCGCATTAGACTCGTTAGCGCGCCCATTAGAAAGGGGTGGAGGTCGTGTCGGGAGCAGCAAGAGCGGTTATCCCTTTCTCCCGCTAACTACGCCCCTGCCGCACACGCTGCACTCGACGGATTGCGATGGGGATGAGCTCGCTGTGTTGCTGTGACTCTGGAGTGTGCTGCTACACTGGCTATGGCTCGCCCTACGCTGTCGAAGGCGAGGACGGCCCTCGTCGTCGGAGCTGGAGTCGCGGTCGCATGAAGCCAGCTCGCATTCACTTACTCCAACCACTCGCTCACCCGCTCGAGGCCACAGACTGGCGCAGCTGGCACTCGCTGACCACTACAGACTCGTCTCACCACCCACACACCCTGCCCGAGTCACGCCAGCCTCACCCCGCCGCGCGTCAACACCCACCCTCGCTCGCTCGCCGTCTCGCACTCGCACGGCCGTGGGACTGCACCGGGCGGGTCACTAGAGGGGCACACAGGGCAGACAGGGCGAGCAGAACAGGCGGCACGCACGGAGAGGACGAGCAGAGGACGACCTGCCTCTTTGGGCCCCCGCGCCTTCATCGCTCGCCTTCTTCTTCTCGACCAGCTCGCTCGCTTGACTGGGGACTCGCTGCTGTACACCAACGACGACTGAGCGACTGAGGCGACAGACGACGACTGCCCTCCCCGCTCGAGCCTCGACGCACACACCTCGCCTTCTCTCACCTTGTGTTTCGGCCCCGCCATCTCCTCCCCTCCTCGTTCCCCTCGCCTCGCCATCGCCCACACGAAAGCACATGGCCTCTTCGCTCGCTCACCCATCCCATCCAATACCCCGCCCGTCGCCTCACGCGCTCATGGACCCGACCGAGCCGGCTCGACCGCCACCTGCTTTCGGGCCTTCTTCGCACGCGCAGGACGGGCACGAGCGGTTCGAGGAGGGTGCAGGGAGGGATGAGAGGTGGGACGCAAGGTGGGAGGCAGTGAGGGAGCAGCAGGCGAGTGGGGCGGCAAGCGCACCGAGCGATCAGGCCTCTCATGGAGGCAACAGTGTCCGACCGTCTCTCGCTTCGCCCGTCTCGTCTCCCGACCGTGACCCCGACGCCCTTCTCTCGCCTCACGACTCGTCCCACCTCTCTCCGACGACTACTTCTCCCCCCTCTTCCTCTTCTCACCCCCGTCGCCCACCCTCTGCCCTCTCCTCAACCTCCGCCTCCTCCCACTCACACCCCTACACATCCCTCTCCTCGCCCCGCTCTCAGCCTCCCCAACCTCCCTCATACGCAAGCAGCAGCTTCACTTCGGCCACGGCGTTCGATTACGACGAGTTGCTGGGACCTCGGCCGGCGCAGAGGGCGGGAGAAGAAGGTGAGAGGAGGGAGAGCAGGTTGACGGGATTGGGGTTCGTCACGAGTCCGAAGATGCGGGAACGCGACGTAGCTGGGGGAGTCGAGGGAGGCGTGGAGGCGGGAGAGGAAGAACGCGATCGCGAACGATGGGCTCAACTCCGTTCGTTGCGCCTCGAATCACCCGCCACGGATCCAACACCCTCCAGTTTCTCCCCTCCCTCCGCTACGCCTCTCTCCTTCTCCTCCCAGCGCACCAGCTCCTCCACCACAACGACAACAGCGCAGGTCTCAGCCAGTCCACTGAGCCCGCTCGTAGCGCCTTTTGCGCCTTCTGGAGCGTTGGGCGGGAGGGTCACGCAGGTGGCTGGGGCAGCGAGTCCCTGGGCGACGAGTAGTGCGGCAATGACAGGAGGAGGGAGGGACGCGGCTGCGAGGGTGCGGGAGGTGCGTCCGACCCGACTTGTCCGCATCTAGCTCGCGAAGAGACAGAAGGCTGACCGATTGAAGATGTCTACGCAGGCAAGCTGGAACTCGACTGCTTCGGGATTCGCCTCGTCCGCCAGTTCGCACCGGCACCTCGCGACTCTCTCATCGACCTCCTCCTTCCCCGGCTCGCCTGCGTCGCACCTCTCTCCGACCGCTTACCCCGCCCACCCCTCCTCAGGCTTCTCCTCCCCCCTTCCTCCTCCTCACCACAGCGACTCGCCTTCGTACCCTCCCTCTTCCCATCCAATGAGCGAATCAGGCTCGCGCGACTCCCGCACGCTCGGGCTGGTCGATAAAGGCGGCTACCTCCGTTCTGCGCCTCCGCCGGGTACGACACCATTGGGTGCTTTCCTCGCCCAAGCGGGCCTCGCCGCCGCGCAACAATCCGCACAGCAGAACGGCTCGGGCAGCGCATCGGGTACCGAGTCACTCGGAGCAGGCGAGTCGTCCGAAGCAGTCACGACCATCTTCGTCGTCGGTTTTCCAGACGACACGACCGAGCGCGAGTTCCAGAACATGTTTGCCTTTGCCGAGGGCTTCGAAGCTGCGACGCTCAAGGTCCCTGCGCCTCTTTCGGCGCTCGAACTCGCGGCGCAGGAACACAAGGAGCGCGAGGAGGAGGCGATGGGACTCCTTGCGCCGGTCCCGCCGATGCCGGGCTTGCCGCCTCACCTCCAATCCAGCTTGTCGTCCGTCTCCTCGGCGCGCGAGGGAGCTGGAACGCCGAGCTCGACGAATGGTCAGGCGGGTCAGGGACAGCTCCAGCAACGCAGGCAGATCATCGGGTTCGCCAAGTTTCGCACGCGCAGGCAGGCTGCAGAAGCGGTCGATATCCTCTCGGGACGGAAGATTGATCCGGAGCGCCCGAGCGTGTTGAAGGCCGAGATGGCCAAGAAGAACCTCCATACGAGGAAGAGCGTCCCGTCGAGCGTTGTGCTCGAACAAGGACCGCCTTCGCGACTCGGGATGGGTACGCCGACCGCCTCGCTCCAGCAGCAACAGCAACCTACGCCCCCGACCGCAGTCGAAGCCGCCGCGCCCGTTGCAGCAGCCGCCACGTCCGCCGCGAGCGCCATCTCCGGCTCAGGCGGCGGAGGACCCTCGATCCCGCTCTCGGCGCTCGACGCAGGCACGCTCGCTCGACTCGCGAACGCAGGGAACCTCAACCCCGCTGTGCTCGCCGAGATCGCGAGGCAGAAACTCCTTGCCGCCGGCGGTGGTGGGCACGGCAGGACCGACTCTGCGTACGACGCGTTCCATTCGGTCCCTGCGCCGCCTACGACTGGACTCGGCTCGACACGTCCCCCTCTGCGCGAGTTGTATGACGACCCGACTTCCTCGCCGCAGACGGGATACCCGCCTGGTCCGTCTTCGTCGACTTCGTCCGCTTCGCCTCCGCACGTCTATGCCGCGCCATCGGCTCTTGCGGCTGCTGCGCTCGGAGGCAAGAGCATGCTCCAGCAACTCGACGAGGGCTTGATC